TAGTCCAGGCTGGCCTTGAACTCACTATGTAGCCCAAGCTGACCTCAAATTCTCACCATTCCTCCTGCCTCAGCCTCCCAAGTGCTGAGATTACAGGTCTCTGCAACCATGCCCAACGGCATTTATTAAATGTCGGGAAAAACAGGCTTTGCAGAGTGAGTTGGGGCCAAGTGAAGCAGAAAAAAGGGAGGGAAAAATGCAGCCTATAGCAAAGGGTGAGATACAACAGCATCATTCATTCATTTTGTGGTGCTGGATATTGAATTGGGTGCTGAGTGAAATTTCCAGCCCTCCCACCTTTTTATTTTTTAGACAGAGTTTTGCTAAATTGCTAGGCTTGGCTCACATTTGTGATTCTGCCTTAAGCTCCCATTTAGCTGGGATTACAAACATGCAACAATATGTTGGTTTTAGATAGTATTAACGATTTGAGTTTATCAGATTGCAGAAAAGAGAGGGGGTTTGAGGGCAAAAATTGACCAAAAAGAAGTTGAAATTTCACAAACAAAAAATTCACAAACTTCATAAGGGTCTCTGGAGAAACAATTCTGTATCCCCTACCACACTGACAGCATGTGGATTTGCAGTGCTTTAAAAAATGTTTAATAATCCAAATATACAAGAAGTTCCTGTAGTTGATACGTGCTAAGAAGACAGAAAAATGTACATTTCAAACAATGATGAAGTTCAGATACCTGAGATGTGAGAATGTTTTAGATGCCTGGATTAAGGGGGATGCCAATGGAATGTGTGTTATGGTTAATAAAACTCTAATTTAGAGAAGACCAAAACTGATAACAAGAAAAAAATGTAGGTGGCACTAAGTCTTGCTAGAGAGGGGCAAGAGGGTGGAACTTTTAGAATTGTTTGACTTTTTTTGAGGAGGGGAACAGGAATCGAACTCAGGACCTCTCGTTTTCCAGGTGTGTGCTATATGCTGAGCTATATCCCCAGCCTGAATTGTTTGACTTCTATATACAATTATCCTTATTCGAAAAACAATTTATTTTGTGCTAGACCATAGGAGGAAATAAAAGATTCACAACTTATTTTAGACAGAAGACAATAAAAATCTTAGTACCACCCTCCTTCCGTATGGAGAATTGAACCCAGGAATTTACTGAGCTATATCCTCTGCCCTTGTTTATTTTTTACTTTGAGACAGGGTTGCCCAGGCTGGGCTCAGACTTGAAATCCTCCTACGTTAGTCTCCCAGAGTGCTGGGATTAGAAGCGTGCACTATTTTTTCTGTTAAACTCTTTAATATCTTTTTATTTTTTATTTTTTTATTTTTATTTTTCCTGGCACCGGAGATCGAACTCACGACCTTGCCAGGCAGGCGCTGTGCCACTGAGCTAAATCCCCAGCCCTCTTTAATACCTTTTTAATGCCAAATGATGGGAATCTTTTCATGAACAGAGAAAAGTAAGAACTGATGTCTATAGACTAGTGGTTGAAAGTCTAGGAATTGTTCTAATGGGAATATAAAGGATTTCCCCAATCTGCCCCGAAGTATTTTTGAGTAAAATACTTCAAAATGTATGTGTACTGGTCTGGGGACGTAGCCCTGTGACAGAGCCCTTGCCTAGCATATGTGAGACCCTGGGTTTGTAGCCCTAAGACCACAAAAGCTTTAAGATGCAACATATATAATGTGAATACCAGAACAGAGAAACGAACCATATATGTAACAGCTCCCACAACGCATGTATTTATATATACCATGACTATACAGTAATTGTTTGTACTATTTATTCATTTATTTTGCTTTTTTGAGACAGGGTCTGGCTGCCCTTGAACTCACTGTGTAGCCCAGGCTGGCCTCTAACTCCCAGCGATCCTCCTGTCTCAGCCTCTCAAATGCTGGGATTACTGGCGTGTGCCACCGCGTCCTACTGATCTTTTTTTTATTTTTTATTTTTGTTTACTCAATGCGTGGCATACCTGTGTTAAAGAACTACTTAGAGGGGCTGGGGATTTAGCTCAGTGGCAAAAGCGCCTGCCTGGCAAGCACAAGCTCATGAGTTCGGTTCCCGGTACCGGAGAAAAACCAAAAAAAATAAAAAAAAGGTAAAAAAAAAAAAAGAACTACTTAGTTTCTTTCGCTGTATAGATGTAAGAGATAAGCGGGTCTCTGACCCGCTGAGCAGCTAGGGAGCTTTTGATCTCAATCCTATGAAGACAAAAGCCGTGTTTTCAGTCTAGAGAAGGCTCCAGACCTCGCCACGGTCACCCTCGGTGCTGCTTCAAGACGCCACGATTTCTGTAACCCCATCTATATGGCTGTCAACAGGCGCAAGGTCCTACTTAAGGAGAGAATCCAAGGACAGAGAAAGACAACCCACATGCTCCCCTCCCGCTCCCAACAGGAACTCAGCCCCTTTCCTAAACGTAGTTCCGCAGAGCGCTGACGTTACCTTGGTCCAATTAGATTTCGAGGCTCGGGGCGCTGTCTCTCCAATGAGAAAAGGAGGTCCAGATTAGCACCAGTCTTGACCAATGGCTGAGAGGATGGCCGTATATCAACCTATAGAAGCCGCGCTCAGAATGACGAGCAGTAGATTCACCCAGTGGGCGCTGCTACGGCGGAACGGGCCTGGCCCCTGCCGCAGAGGAGCAGGCGGCAAGGACGGCCGCGGCGCGCAGTCTCCACCCGCACTCCGCCATGTTGAGTCTGGTGGGCCGTGTGGCCGCTGGGTCGGCCTGCGGGGCCTTGCGGGGCCTCAGCCCTTCGGCGTCGCTGCCCCAAGCTCAGCTGTTACTGCGGGCCGCCCCGGCGGCGGTGCAGCCCGGTGAGTGCCTTCCTGCGGGCCGGGTTCGCTCTTCTTCCGCGTGACCTTGAGCCGCGGGCGCAGCTCGGGCCTGAGTGGAGGGGTGCGGGCCGCGGGGCGGGCATGGCCGCCATGGCAGCGCCCCGGGACCCGTGCCGCTTTGTTTCGGAGGAGAGGCTCTGGGTGACGGGGGAGCGCGGGCGGGCACGCGGCGGGGCCGAGCGGGCGCCTCCGCCTCCGTGCAGTCCGATCGGGGCCGGCCGAGGCGCAGTCGCCCGTCCTGGTGGGTTAGGTCGGGGCGCGCGATGACCCGGGGCCGTCCTCACCCGGCTGCATCCCGCGTCTTCCCGCCTCCAGCCAAAGACTATGCGGCGCAGACCGCCCCCGCGCCCAAGCCGGGCGCCGCCGCCGGGCGCATCGTGGCGGTCATCGGCGCGGTGGTGGACGTCCAGTTCGACGAGGGGCTGCCGCCCATCCTGAACGCCCTGGAAGTGCAAGGCAGGGACACCCGGCTGGTGCTGGAGGTGGCCCAGCATTTGGGTAAGTAGCATTTGGAGGAACAGGGAGGATGTTATTTAGAGCAGACAGCCGGAAAGAACGCTGCTCCTTCTGTGATGATTGCATCCGCATGACTTTCGTTCTTCTGAATTTGCTGAAGCCACCTTTAGACCCTGAGAGGGAGTCCTGGCTGACGTAGGTCTGTCGGCCAGGAACACTTCGTTAAATGACCTCCGACTTGTCCTTACGTAAAACCTCCCGATGCCTCCGACAGGTGAGAGCACTGTAAGAACCATTGCTATGGATGGTACAGAAGGCCTGGTCAGAGGCCAGAAAGTCCTGGATTCTGGCGCACCGATCAGAATTCCCGTTGGTCCTGAGACCTTGGGCAGAATCATGAATGTCATTGGAGAACCTATTGATGAGAGAGGGCCTATCAAAACCAAACAGTAAGTTTCCCAGCATCTGTTCACAAAGGAACTGCCTCCCCCGTTATTTATTTCTTGTGGTACTGAGGATTTGCCCAGCGCCTTAGGCACACATAGTAGGCAAGCCCTCTGACAATGAGCTACATCACAGTCCTTTTTTATTTTTTTATTTATTTTATTTTATTTTTTTCCCATACC